ATATTGTTACATTCAATATTATAAGAATGTGTAGCCTATTATTTTTGTTTTTTGATTCGTGGAGAAAGTATTTTGAGTATTTTAAATACAAAATTACTCCACCCATTTCACCCATTTGCTGCAATGCCTGATGAAGGTCACACCGACCGAAACGTGGCTCAAATAAATGAAAATAAGAGAGTGAGACAGTGTGCGGGAGCCTTTTTTGATTCTTATATATTTTGGGGTTGCAGCCTCTCTCCTACGCACCTGCTGTTTTTGGGTGTGCTGAGATTTTTCCATACATTTTGAAATACAAGTAATAGAAATGCTGCCCATCCCTGCTAATGTGTGTCTGTTGTCACCTGACAAATGTCAGTCCAGTCCTCACAAGCCTTAAGCTCTCATTTGGTCTTCTGCGTCCTTGCAGGCAGTCTCTCTGTGTTTCCTGGAATGCACAATCAAAGCCAGAGGTACCACTAGCTAGAGCTGGAGCCTGGGTCTGCCACCATCTCAGTCTGATGTGTAATGATTCAGAGTTGCTTGCAAAGATGACTGCAGTGTGGCTTGAGAGGGGTGTTTCCTTTTTAGATCATGTAAATTAAGTGGAGATATTTCTGACATGATGTCAAGAGCTGCATCAGTTTAGCATCTGGCAGTAGTGATGGCATTGCTAGATCTTGATAGTATGAAATGTGTCATTTATTTAAAAGATTTGGTTTTGGTCCAACTGTATATCAAGGGGTCAGAAGAACCAGAGGAGCATTTTGGATGAAAATAATTTATATGCATTAAATAAAAACTCTGATGAGCTCTTTCTGATGCCAAAAACTGTACTTGTGAATTCGTAACCAATCCAAAGTTATTAATCAAAAACCAGAAGACTTGGGGCCAAAAAAAGCGTAATTGCACATGCTCACTTAAAATATTTTTTAAATAAATGTAAAAATATTGATATTTGATATTTATTTCAAACATGTAAAAAAAAAAATGAACATGCATACAAGCAGACGGACAGGAAGTAATATTTACTAAAAGTAAAAAGCATAATGTCAAAGCAATTGTCAGTGTTTCGTTACTTTGATTTACACATCCAAAGTTCATTAATTTAAATTCACTATTGCAATCCATGTTTATAAACTTTTAATGTTAAAGATTAATTTCAATAAACAAAGTCAGGTCAAAGTTTGGTCCTTTTTTTGTTCTTGCTGTCCTGTAACATTGGTCCAATGGCACCTGCGCCCCTCTGGTTCTCACCCCTTAATATGTATATTTGAATGTAAAGGGTCTATTCTGTAAGCCAAGCGCTTGTGAAAAACCGTTGTTTTCCTTTTTCAGCAGAAAATATGTATTAATTTTCAGTTAGAATAGCTTTAATACATGTCTTTGCATCATGCAGGCAATACAGCCTCAAATGTATCGCTACTGTCATAGTGTGATCACTGTCAGTTAGCTGACAGGTGAAAACTGAAATGCGTTGTGTAGAATCTGCATTTAAAAAACTTGGGTTACTGTAGAACGAGGAGGGTGTGTCTGCAGACCTGGAGACTGCAGATCTGGACCCGCAGTTCTGGACACCTTGTATTTCGCGACAGCGCCCTCTATTTCATTGGAAGCCAACATACTATTACAACTATTGAATATGGCCGACGACGATCCGAATTTGAATCATATTATTTGTTTAAACTGTTTTGTTGACATGAAATAGAGAGTGAACTTCATGTTTTACAGTGATACGTTTAAAATGATATGACTGTCTTTACCACGATAGTCTGAAAGGCACGTCAAATATGGGTTAAAGTAGTAGGTAATAGTTTAGCTTGTTAGCAATGAACTGTTTGACCTGCACATTTTGTTTCATGAAACCGAAGCGCGATGACGAATAATTTTAGCATGTGCTTTAAATTAAACATGAATAAATGATTAAAGCAATGAAGTGGATGATATGAGAAAAACGTGTATAGGCTTACGTTTTCATACAAGCATGAAACTGTTTACATATTGGCAATTAGTGTACTTTATGCTAAAAGTTAATTTTGTATTCATGTATATCATGTAATACACCT